ACAAAAGGTAGAGTAGCGGAGGACGTTGGGGAAGAAGAAGACATGAAACTACGAAAAAATTTTCTTACTCTTGTCCACCAAGGCGTTCATCATCTCCTGTGCTTCCGCTGTGCTGTAGTCCGTGGATAGCACCTCGGAAATGTAGGGATCCAGCACACTAGTGTTTCTCGTCTCATAGTACTCCTCTACTTGTAACCTATGGTGCAAACCTGAATCAATCACTTCCAAAAGGTGAGATATCGACGGAAAGGCCCCGGCGATGGCAGCTGCTCGCCTTTCGGAAACAGATGAAATTTCCAAGAGCATGTCGAGGTAAAGAGCGTGAAAGTCAGTCGGATCACACTTCCGCCTCGCCTCTGCCCGAGCCAGTGGCTCCAACTCCGACTGCTGCTTGCTTGCCTTGAGGCCGTGGGCAGCAACAATGTCGGCTGCTTGCTCAAGAGAAGGAGCAAAGTCGAATCCTACCAAAATGGACAAAAGGGAATCATCCGCACAGAGGCGAGTGACTTCTTCCCAAAAGCGCGGCTGCCTGGGACCTGTTAATTGTCCAAGCATGATCACATACACCGGACACTTGGATGCATCGTATACAGCTTTCACGTAATTGTGAACGCAATTGTGACGTAGCATAAGCATAAAATCGTTAAACGTAATGAATAAAAGCAGTAGGCAGGTCCTGGTGTCGTTAGTTACTAAAACAGAGCTCGAAACCGCATTCTGAGTTTCCCTGACTTGGAGGCAGCGAGAGCCCAGGTGCGCTGCACTGAGCGTACGCGCAACCGCCTCACATAAACCCTCGCACGCGGTATCCACAACTAATTCAAACCCCATATACAAGATTTTATGCCCCTCTAAGCGAAGCTTCGAAGGAATGTGTAGTGGGAGGTTTCCATAAAACCTACAAAGCCGAAAAGGATGGGGGAAAAAATGGCAGAGTATCCGGGTGCAGCAATGCCTTACTCAACGATTGCCAAGCAAAGCCATCGTACTACGAAAGGAATCCGTGCAGACGCTCATACATAGGCATCGACTGAAACAATAAATGCTCGCCCGCAAGAAACATACACACCAACACCAGCACAAAACGGCCAATATATATATAAAGCAACAGCAGCAACATCGGGGGGCAGCAATACAATGAAAAAATAGCACAGCAAGCAAAAAAAAATTAGTGGAGGCTAAAACTCAAGATGACTGATGCACAACGGAGAAAAAAAAATGCGCACGGCTAAATTCTCCCTTTACACTACTGCTGTGCCTATACAAGGTTATTGCTGTCATCTAAGAGTCTTATTGCCTCCTTGGCATCTGCCTCCGTGAGACCAGTAAATGCATTTGTTGTAATGGCATGGCGTGAAAAAAAAGCTCGATTAGGCGCTGTGGCCGGCAAATTGATATCGTCGACTGCGACGAAGTTTACAATATTATACCGCTCCCTGTTGGCCTCAATCCACCGCAATATTTCTACCGCTCTAGACTTATCGTGTAAATACGGTGTACATGAAATGAAGGTGGGCATATTATTCGCTATAAGCTGCTTTGCCACTTCCCCCCGTCCAAATTCAGACAGTCGCCACGAGGTGCTCAACACAATTTTGGCTCCTGTCTCTAAAATGACGTTTCGCAGCAGGGCCATTTGCTTCGGCGCAAAGAGAGTTCCGCCAAAGGGCGACACAACACCGTCACAGTCAAGGAAAAGGATCTTGGTACCCTCAGTCGGCGCCCTGCTTGTCACCTGCGCACGCTTCACCTCCTGCTTCCTGCCGCTCATTTTTTTTTGCTTTCTTTCTTACCCAGGCTTTTGCAAGTGTTGCCTTTTTAATGCTTTTTGAAACTACTTTATCTTACCGGAAAAGTTGCGAGACACACCCCAAGAAACACAAAAAAAACCCAAAAAAGGAGGGAGGGGGGGAGGGAAAAAAAAAATGAAGCGGGGCAAACAAACTCACACACAGAGGCAAATCCATTTTGAGAGAAACTGCAGTGTATTGAGTTGCTTGCTGCCCAGAGCAGCGTCGCACGAACAAAGTTGCATGCAAAAAAAAAAGCCACAACCTAATCCTCAAATTTACAGCATCGCAACAAGTCCAAGAAAAAAAATAATAATAATAACATTTTTCTTTTCTTTTCTTTTCGTTTAACTGGATGTATCCGTTCGCACATAAAAAGCAACAACGAGACCGCTAGTCTGCCGATATACATATATATATATATATATTTATATATGGGCAGCAGTGGAGCTAGGGGAGGCCGCCGGGAAGGGTGGCCATTTCCTGATTACTCACGGCGCCTTTTCCCTCTGAACTTGGTCATGGGGAGGAAACGCTCGTCTGCGACTTCCCCGCGCGCGAGTTTGCGTACGTGCAACACCAAATCATGCGCAATCTGCTGCGTTAACCTGGAATCCTGTTTATAATCGGGGTGCCGCATAACAAATTCTCTCAAATATTGCGCAGCCGTAGGAATTTCTCCTGCGGCTCGCATTGAAAGAAAACGAAGGTAGCCCTCCAGTATGGGGCTTTGCAACTTTTCCTCTTCCATGTATCGTCGCACAAGAGGAATCAAGCCATAATATCCTTCCTTTCTCCCATTAAACACTTCGTCAACGGTGAATTCGCCGTTTTCAGAGGGATCAGTCGAGATTTTCTTAGAAAAGATGTCACGCCGCATAACGTAGCTTTGGGAGCAAGGGTTAGGGTTGTGTGCGTAGCCCATGTTTTCGTCAACAATGCTCAGCTTGGTGTAGAACAGTGGATTATATTTAATAATGGCACGAGTAAGCAGGACCACAAAGACAGAAAAGGCCGCGTTTTCAAACGGTGTCGGCATCACATCCATAACACGAAATTCGACCCGCCAGCCAGTGTCACCGTCTAGAGTAGGAGGTTTGAGGCGAACCGACTGCCAGTTTGTGCTTTGAATGTTCTCAAAATGTTCCGTGTGCGTTGTATCATCGATCTCAATCATCTGATCGTACATTACCAGGGGGTCACGAATGAAAAGATGCGCGACGTGCTTCGCTAGGCGCTCATCCACACCCGCCTCTTTAAGAATCGCAAAGTAAGCTTCATTGATGACAACCTCCTCATCGTTAAACTCTTCCAAGTTTGGCACAGCCGAACTTACAAAGATAGAAAAAGAGTCATAGCGTGATTTAATAATGCGTGGAACCTCCTCCCGTTTGCGGTCATCAACAGAGGCAGCAATTGTTAGCCAGCGAACGTCTGAATCGCACAAAATACCCTTTTGAAATGGCGTCGCTGAACTCATTGCAAGAAAAAGAGGGCATAAAATCCCTAATTGATCGTATACGTGACGCGCCTGTGTCGCACCTTCAAATTGCATAGTGACTTGCAAGCAATTGCAGCCCATACCAAACGCCATGCAGTCCATGTAGATACATGGATGGCATACTGAAGGTACTGGGCAAGGGCATGCATCATAGCGCTGCTTTACAAGTTCCATGTGAGATTTCTTAAAATATTGTGCATAGTAGTAATGTGTGGCGGGAGTATAAAAGTAGGTCATTTCCCCTTTGTCTGGAGATCCCGAATCACCGTTATTATTCTTGTCGTGTCCTTCTTTCAACGCAACCGCGACAGCATTCGCGAATTTTTCGCCTTTGGATGCCTTAGCCTCTGCCGCACCGCAGTCAATTTCCTTATTATGGGGCGTACGGTCAATATTCAGTCGAGGATCTACGGTTCGCTCCATCGTATGCGTATCAATATAAATAGGAATTTGAATGCAAACTTTTCGACCGCGTCTCAGACGAATGTTTTGCGTTAAATTCGCAAAACGCGGATGTGTGGTGTTGATACATACATCCGGCACAAAAAGTGAGCGGGAATATGGAGACTCCTTGCTCTCAGAAGTGGTAAAATCGCCAACGCCCATCAGAGGAAATGTCACCAAGGTCAGGGAAAATACATTGTCTCCAGCAACACTGTCCATCAGGTCACATCGCCGCCTTATATTCGCCTCAACAGACGTTAACGAATCCAATTCAAGGGTATACGGTGACCCAGGGACACTTTCCACCATGAAACTTCCGTACTCTGGACGCCAGCCCACGTTTTCCTTTTCAACAAACTCTGTAAGGCGCTGAATCACATCTGCGGCGTTTAATGAAAGCTTCACCTTCCCTCCTTCCACGCGCACGAGTTGGTGCTCCACCTCCTCACCCCAGCGGAAAGGAAAAACCTTCTTTGCGTGTTCGCTTTTCAGCATTGTCAATAACTGCTGAATCCCATGCCAAGAGACATACGGCAAGGCGCGATTATTTTCTTCTGTCCCCCACCGCATGGGCTCGCCGCCTGTTTTTAACAGACCCATTCTTTTTTTGTTGTTGTTGGTGGTGGTGGTTTTTGTTGTTGTTTTGTTTTTGATTTTGCTCAACGAAATAGGATCGATATTTCGTGCCTCTGTCGAGCCACCTCTACGCTTTCGAAAACTGCAACCAGCTGCGATGGAGAAAAAGAAACGAAGCAACGCTTTTGGTCCACTTTCTGCTCGAGCAAGGAACGACATGCCCCCTTCAAGCCAGCCACCAGAGACTAGGAAGGATTAAGAGCAAAAGCAAGAAAAAAAACTACAACAACAGCAACAATCTCGACTACTGCAACTAGTAATTCATTCCACACATACGCACACAAGGAAAACGAAACCAAGCAGCTTCACAAAAATTCAGGAGCAAACGCGAATCCGAGTTGCTAACCCACAACAATACACAGGAGTTCGTCATAGGCTGCCTTCAAAGTTTTGAATTTCTCCTCGGCTTCCTTCCGCTGCTGGTCAGATGCACCACACCACCTATCTGGATGCCACCGCATTGCCAAGGCACGGTAGCTCTTCTTCACCCGCTCCGCACTTGCTCCCGTAGGAAGTGACAGTTGAGCGTACAGTTGCGCGACACGACGAGGATCCTTTCCTCCAATGTGTTTTTTCTTGCGTTCGCTTCTTCCTGACCCTGCCGCTTGGTTTCTTGGAAGGCCACTCCTCTCTGAAGCCCCTCCAGCGTCTGGGCAATGTTCCTCCTCCTCGTCCTCGTCGTCCTTTCCCGGAGGAAACCGATGTCGTTGCTTCTTTTGCTCTTGACGCCTCTCGTACTCCTTTTTTCCTTCGCAAAGACGTTTCCAAACCTCGACAATTTCCATGGTGCGGTGCTCCCTAATGGCTAGCTCGGCATTTCGAATCGCAGCCGACCATCGCAGAAGTTTTTCTTCAGCGAGAGCCTTAAGAAGCAGAAGCTGGGCTCTCTCATTGCCCGCCGCCGCATTTTGCATGGCAGCTTCAACGTCATCTATGCAATCATAATAATGCTTAACTTCGAAAAAGCCGCGCGCTCGTTTTGCCAAAATCCCCGCACGTAGCCGATCGCCAATAAATGGGATCTTTAAGGATTTTGTACACGCCTGTATAAGCGGCATCCATTCGCCCTTGGCAAGTAAGGAGTCCACTTCCTGACACAACTGAATGCAGTGTTGGCCACGCTGAAGCACCTGACGTAAACGGCCTGTAGAATCTGTGGAGCCATTTAAGGTGCACAAAGGGAGAACAGCCTCTAATTCGGCCTGGTTGGCACTCTCGAGAAAGCGTAGTTGCGCGCGCCAATAGAGCAGGTCTGGAAATTCAGTGTAGCGCCGAAGGGCATTATTTACATACGCCAAAGCCACCTCATTACCGTCCTCAATGGCGAGAAGTTGCACCTTTAGCACTTCGAACGACGCACACGGCACACGTTCCAGCAATTCATTTAAATACCTTAGGGCCGTTGCATGTTCATTTCTACCTAAGGAAGCAAAGTAGTTTTCATACAAAGTGACCTCAGCCAATTCGGGCGTAAAGGTGTAACCGCACTTGTTCTTCTTGAATCTTTCCATCGTTTGTCGCGCTTCAACAACTCTTCCGCAGCATATGAGGGACCGCACAGCCCGGCGAACACCAAGAACGTATTCATTATCTATTTCATAGGACCGCATCGCATCACGAAGAGAAAGTTTGTAATTTTCCATGCGCAAGTAGCACGCCGCACGGTTCCCTAGGAGGGCGGCACTCAACATATTTGGCAGACAAGAGCCAATTACCGAGGAGAATATATCGGCAGCTTCGCTATAATTTCCACGTTGGTACGCCTCGTTCGCTTCTTGGCATTTCCGCCGTTCCTCGGCGTCAGAAGAGCTGGAGTGCATAGCGGGGTCCAGCGAGGTCACATCTTGGACTTGGCTCGACGCATGGTCAACGTCACTGTCGGCGTGACGCTTACTCACTGGTGCCGCCGAGGAACCAGAGAGCGCAGCCGTGATGTTTTCCAGTTGCTTCGTCAGCGAAAAGAATTCCTCGTCGGTGAAAAACTTTGCTTTACCCGCGGAAAGAACGTCAACGCACGGGAGAGAAGGCGCCTGTCGTTGGAACGCAAGATCCTCTTGTTTTAGCGTGTGCCACTCACTCACAGCGGACTCCCAATCCCGGGAGACGGATGCATCGAGAAAGCACCGTAGGCGATCGTCGTGCGCCAGCAGCAGCCTAACTGAATAGTTGTGTAGTTCCTCACTGTTCATTTGACGCGACCCTTTACCACATAGACAAGTTTCCGCACATGGGCTCAACAATGGCAGTCTTCCTTACCACCAATTAAAAGCATGAGAAAAAAAAAGACGCGGGGAAGCCAATAAAGGGTCCGTAGTAAACATCAAACGATGGAAGAAGCCGTGCCAACACAGTAAGGCGGGGCATACATAACACGTCACTGTCAATAAGGGCCAAAAAAACAAAACGGAATCAAGGAAAAGGCATGAGTAAGAAGTGAGCGGATGGTACATCAGAACCTCGGTCTCTTTGAGTTCGTGGGGCCTCCTATTTACAATATATACGTATGTCGTCGGTTTTTTCCCCATGCCTTTGCCTCTCTTTCCCTTCTTTTTCTTTTCCTCTCCATGTCACTATTCCCGATAATTTAAAAATAAAAAAAACAAACAAACATTTCGGGCAAGTGACGCTATCATACATCGTTCAATATCCCAACGCAAGGTCCAAAATGACACAACTACGCACGAACAAAGAAGAAGTTATGTGTGGCCTTGTCAAAGTCGTGGTTGATCGCGTTGCTGCCACACAGCCTCCACATACCCTCCTCCTCCACTGCATCGAGTAACGCGACAAAAAGCTGCGACTGCCCAATATCTTCGCTGGCAAAATGAGTCTTAAGCTCACCGTACCAGTGCGGAGGTTCCTCTTTTCGTACAAACGCAAACTCGACCTTTTCAGTGTTTGTCGTGGTGCAAGCGCCTGGAAGCACGGCGTTGAGCTTATCAATGGTGCTTTCCCTTACAGGGCCAAGAATAGAAATAACAGGTGGATTGCACGTCACGTTGATGATCAAGTTCTTCTCCATTGTTACGCACTTGTTTTTGTTTCGTCGTTTACCTTGTTGGAGTGTGTGATGACGGCACGCGTTCCTTCGGCAGCAGCAGCACCCCAGAAAACAGCAGATAAAAAAAAATAAGAGAGACTGACCTGCAAGTTGTGATAGTGGGGGGAAGTAAGGGGGGGAACGGAATGAGCAAGAAGGCCCTTCGCAACTCAGAGACAAGAAATACTGCACATACGCACAGAGAGAGAGAGAGAATAAAAAAAAAGAGAGACAAGGGGGGAAAGATATCTACATTTCAAAGCAGTGGCAACCCATCATCAGAAGCCGCCTTTTCTGGCGCCTCATGCTGTCGCCGCCGCTCAAGCTCTTCCAAAGCGGCCCGCTCCAACTCTTCTTTGGTAGGTGCCACATATGTTCCTTGAAGGCGTGCAGCCAATTCGAGTAGACTACATTTTGGAGGGAGTAGCATGCGCAGCTGCTGCGCCTCCCCGGGATTCAGGACACTCTCACCATTGGTTGTCACAATCCGAACCAGTTCATCGATTGTCATTTCTCCTGCCCCATCCTTGTCGACGAGTTTCAGCGCCCCCAAAACGTCGCGCTGCTCTGCCGCTGCGTCGCGGTAAATCTCCTCTGCACATGAGATAAAAATGTTCCAATCGATGTTTTTGATCTCTTCGACGGGAACAATCTTAACATTCTGTTGAGGCACTTGACCTTCCGCGGCTCCAGCCTGCAGTGCTCGCTCCACAGCAGACTTACGTGGCTTCTTTTGTGGGTATGCTGAGGAAGAGCGCTTTCTATCCCGCATTTCCTCACGACGACGCTCCTTCTCTCGCTTAAGCTCCTCCTCACGACGCCACTGCTCGAGGCGCAGAATCGGATCCGCCATTCGTTCGCGGAGGTAGTCCATGTCGGCCTGAGTGGGATTCATTCCCATGCCACGCAAAAGAGTCATGCAATCGAGAAATGAAACCAACTTCTCTTTATTCTCCAGCATCACAAAGATAGTCTCAGCCTCGTTGTACACCTCGCTGGTGAGTACGGAGGGCGGACGTCGGGCGCGTTCATCCATCACTGCGAAGAAGACCTCCCCGCCCACGCCCCTGCACTGGCATAGATCGATAACGCGGGCAAGAGAGAAAAGGGGAAAAATAAGCAGAAACCCGCAAAAAAAAAACAACAACAACAACACAACAACAACAACAAAAGAAATGTCATCCCTTCACGAAACCAACAGAATAACAACAAATAAATAAAGAACAGGGGGTACAGAAACAAGAGAGAAAACAATAGGCGCATGCATTGGCTGTGAGAAGTGCGTCATTGGAAAGCGGCCGCGTCATGATCAAAACGAAAAAAGAAAAACGATACACAAAATACATTTAACCACCAATATATAACTATATATATATATAAAGATCTGCAGAAAAAAGTAAATGCACGTGTATCTGGCCACGCGCAAAACGGGCATTTATATACAGGAATTAACTCAGAAACACATGCACATGAATACAAACGGGCACACACACACACACACACACAGAGAGAGAGAGAGAGAGAGAGAGGGGGGGGGGAAACACCTAACTCCAGTTATAAGATCTGCCAATATGGCCCCTCTGGTGAGTTCGTTGCATTACAACTCAACTGCCTCCGCTTCGTCCGCGGTTTTTTCGGCAAGTTCAATGTCGCGCTCACCACTGTCGTCAATCTCGCTCACATTGTCCAGTAGAACAAATTCCGGCACATTAGCCACCGCCTGAGCCTCCTGAGCCAGGACCTTCCAATCCCATCGAGACATTAAGTAATACAAGAGCGGAATTTCAAAGCAGAACCCAGTGAGCAGACCACCAAGGACGCCTTCGACGCCCCAGTGAAAAACAAAAACGTAAAGCGCAGAGGCTGGCAAACCGATAAGCCACAATGTAAAGACCACACCTCGTGCCGCTTGCTCCGGTCGCCCAGCACCACGAAAAACACCTTGTAAACAATACTGAAGAGAGTCTCCGAGATGACAAAGGATGACAACCGGCATTATAGACTCCACCGCGCTTGTCATCTCGGGAACATTTGTATAAAGACGTGCAATGTGCCCTCCAAAGTAGCCCATAGCGACGGCGGTACAAACCCCAAGTGTCACGTCACAGATAAGAATAAACCTGGCGTACCGTGACGCAAATAAAGGCCTTTGAGCCCCTAGGGCATTTCCAATTAAAGTGCTTGCCGAGACACTCAACCCAAGTGCTATGGAGAACATCACCGATATGATGTTCATTGCCACTCCAAAAACCGCCAAAGCAAGCGGTGAGATGGAAACTGCAAAGAACGCCTGCACTTCAAAGGCCCACCACTCCGAACACACCGCGATCAGGGAAGGTATCCCAACCTTGAAAAACCTTCTCCAGGCCTCCTTTTGACGAAGTACCGGGGATGGCCACTGCGCCTCTCGGACGACAGCTTTAGGGTGCAGTAGGCAAATCAGCACATGGGTGGCAGCACACATCATTCCAGTCAAACCCAGTGATAGCGCGGTTCCCTCAATTCCCATAAATATTAAAAAATAGTTAGCTATAGGGGAAGTAATTGCCGCAGCTCCATTAGCATACACAACAAGGGGGGAAAGACGTTGGGCATACAGTGTCTTGCTTACAATTCCAGTAATGATCTGTGTCAGTAAGTACACTGGGCTCGCCCCGAGAAACCTCGCGGCGCCTTTACCAACAGCGTCTCCAAAGACATAAACCATCACGGGTTCGCTGTTAATAAAAGCAACACTCATAACAATCCACAAGAAAAAATTAATGACAAATGCCAACTGCAGTGTGTCCCCAATTACTGTAGAGCGTGGGTTTTGCCCAAAGGCCTGGGAACTTATCGTATCTATGGCGGAATTCAAACCACTGACAACGGACATGGCCGTTACGTTAAATACCAGAATCCCAGCGCTGTACTGGGACATCCCCTCCTCGCCGAGACAGTGCCCTACAAAGGCCATGGTAATCATTTGTGAAGCCATCCACAAAACACTGCTAACGTCCGTCGGCACCGCAACTTTTAATGTTTGGCAAAACAACTCATGAATAGTGACCCTATCATCAACAGCCCCCGTTGACGTTTGAACAGTGTTGTCCTCCCTTTCCCAATTAGGCCCCGCGTCCATTTACCTCACTCACTAAGCCAAACCGCTCCCTTCGCCCTTTTCGTTCCTGTTTAAAGAAACCCTATCGCTAGCAGAGACGTACAATAAAAGCAAGAACGGTAGAAAAGCGACAACAGCCAGTTACACGCACAGGAAGAGCAAAAACAAACAAAGGATATGTATCGAGAGTTAACTTGTAAGACGCAATCCACACCCAAAAAGTAAAAAAAAAAGGTTCTTCAGCACAGCAACCTATTAAAATACATGTGTACATGAGCAAAAGCTGGGTTTGCCAACGGATGCATTTCGTTTGTTGTTGTTGTTGTTTGTTTTTTTTTGCTTTTCCTTTGTTTCGGTTTGGTTTTGCTTTGAGCCTTTGCATCTACATATACCCAAGTGCAGAATTGACCGGGCAAGGCAAACGTGCCGACGGGCTGTAACGCTCATGAAACCAACAGCAGTGACGCCGCCAAGCACGCCTTTGCGTCACTTACCGTGGATACTACCTCATCCAATGGCAGCGCAACCAATGAATTCTCCACAACCTTTGAGGCATTCTGAAGTGTCTGAAGAGTTTCAGGTGTCATTTCCACAGCGAGTGAGTAAACCTTGTATGGCGCCGTCCCTTCGTTACCTACAGTGTACCCTTTTGAGCTGACCGCACGCACTTGTTGAAGATCAGCGCCTAATTGTTGAAATAACTCGTCTTTTGGTGCCGTAAGGTTCCCGGTATCGTTTACCGCGCCGCAGAAAGCCTCCAGGATAAAATTGCAGCCGACAGAGACCTGGCGTTGCCTTACAAGTATAGCGTATCGGGTGTCGTTGACGGCGGCAACAGGGAGGATAATGGCAGGACTGGAGTCGCAGAGGTCTACAGTCTGAACAACCTTCCCACTGCGTGTATCACACTCCACATCCATAGTCAATCCCACAACGCGCTGTGCCACCCGTCTAATATTGCGGATAACGAATGTAGAAGGCACAGGGCCATGACCTGCGCACGCTGCCACATACTTACAGAATGGCGGATAATCCGCCACCGCCCTCAGACCGCCTTCAGTGTCATCGCGGAAGGTTTTGTGCGTTGTGAGCAACGCCACCCTTTCGCCAACCTGAACCTCCATCCTCTTATCCTTAATCCCCTTTTTCTCTCTTCGAGCACGCAAAAGAAAGCAGGCGACAAAGAAAGCAGGAGAGCACTCAAAAACGCCATAAGGAGGAGAAGCATCGTTATGATTTATTTTTTTTTCTTTTTTTTTTTTACTACATTGCTTCTTCCAAGTCCACCTCCAAAGGTTGTTTTTTTTTTTTTTACACTCCGATCCTAAGATAGCACATTATCAAGTAGCCTCAAACGTTCCGGCCACGGCGATCCTGCAGGCCCAATAAAGCTAATAGCCGTTGAACTGGCGTGGAAAGCATAATAGGGCCCAAAAGAGGGACCGACTCTAAAACGCGGGCTATCATCGGGAAAAAATTACCAAAAAGATTCAGCGCTCCAAAACCTTGGAGCAAAAGGCCAATGAAACAAAAGCCTGATATAATGAGCAACATTCCCAGGAAAAAGCACCCAGAAGCTCGGCGGCGGGATAGGAAAAACGACTGAAAGCGTTTGGGCCCCATCACCAAAGCCACCCCTGCGACAAACAGGACGTTCCCCATCGTCAGAAGAGCACTGTCCAACAGCATGATAACACCCAAGAAAGTGAAGAGTGCCCCTAGCCCTGTGAGGGCGACGCCAATCTTTGTGGAGTCATTCCAGTTGTAAAGGGAGTCCATTCGACTATTCTACAACGCCTCCTATGCTAGAGATCCAAAACGAAAAAAAAAAGAGAATAAACACAAGTCAATACGAAATATATATATACATATATATAGAAAACGGGAGTCCGGTAAGGGAGGGAGGGAGGGAGAGGGGGATGGAAATGGGCTCTCTATCAACCACCAAACACAGGCACCCACACACGCAGATGCACCATCTGTGTGCGGAACGTCATATATAGAAGGACGGCCTCTCTCGATGTGACTACTGCCCAATCAATTTTACTTTTGTTTTTTATACGCCATGCTTAATCAACTTCGCTTCACTCCATCCCACACTCACTCTTCAGTAGAAATTCATTTGCGCACACACCATATGCATGTACGCATTATTCTTTCTTCTTCATTGTTATATTTGCTTCTCCTTTTCACCTTCCCCCCCCCCCGCTTCTCCCCATTCTTCCTTGGGTTTATGGTTGTTGTGTCACGCTAGGCGTCAACGTCAGTTAACGTACGTTTACGGCTTTTTTTCTCCCTCGCCCCATTCACAAACGCCTCTAACGTCGTACGTTCCCCACCGTTCGCATTTTTCTGCTTCGTCGCAAAGGACTCCACTCGCTGCTGGCGAAGCACTTGATGGTACGTTGACAATGGGCTCCCGGCAGCTTTTAATTCATCCTCCAGCTGCTTTACCGCTGCCAAGTCGCAGGGTCCGATGCTTACTTGATCGCGTCGTGCGATAATGCGTTGACTAGTTGTTTGCATGTGCCGCAGAAGAGTGCTCAATTGAGAGTGCACCTTCGGTATCTTCACCTCGCCGCGCAACCGCTTAAGCGTCGTCTCCACCACCCAGAAAGCCTCTGGAAACCCAAGCGTGTGGCTATGCGTTGCCAAGTGCTCTGTGAGGAGGTAAAGACACTCACACCAGACCTGTCGATGGTAACTTACGCTACGCGACTGTGATTTTTTCACACGTATTGTAAACTGCAGGTCTATTTGTTCGCCCTTCTCACCTTTTCCTTGAAAATTGTGGTTCAAGGCGATACTCGGTGAAGTCAGTATGCGCAAAAGGTACGGAGCCACAGGAATAAAGACTCCGTCAGCGCGAAGGGAAACATGGTTGAGAATCTCTATGATTTGCAGATGCATAGGAAACATGCGAGGAGATGCGAAGAGATCCATTAAGCCAACTGAAATTTGCACAAGCGGGTGGATGAGGGGGCCCAACTGTGCAGCCTCGGAATACTTTGAGAGGACGGCACCCCACGTACGTAGTGCGTTCAGGTACTGCCAGTTCACCACGGCCCGGACGTTACTCTGAGTTTGTTGCTGTAGTGCAGAACGAAGGTAAATTGCCAACTGACGCAGGTAGACAAAAGTGTGTTGGTATGCGGCCTCCATGTCTGTACCATACAAGTCAACGACACAGTTTATAAGAAAGGCTATCAATGATGCATTGTGGATGTTGTAATGATGGGCTGTTTTTACCAGAGTAAGGAAGATGCCCTTAAAGGCAGTAGACTGATACATGGTGCGTGTTCCTGTGGCACGTGTTGCAACCGCGCGAACAACAACATAGGCCGCTATACGCACCGGCTCCTCTGGGGCTGAGCAAAGTAAAAGGGCCGCTTTCAGAACAGACTTAGTAATGCCTTTTATGTAATGCAGTATCGGCACAAACGGCGTAAGAGCATGAAGCAGGCCCGCTGTTAGTACGGCGTCCACGTTTCCCCCTTCCGAAACACTAGTCACCAGAGAAAGTAGCAGTCGTCGCATCAAAAAACGAGTCTTGTGGGATTTAAATGAACCCTTTCCAGTAATAAATTTACTTAGGTTTGACCCGATGAAGCGTGCAATGCGAAACATTGACTCCTTCACCAGCGACGGATCATCAAACTTGCGCGTTGAACTTGTGTTGGGATGCTCCTTGACCGTATAACCCAACTCGCGCACGGCACTGACGAAAACATCGACGCATGCCTCGATGTTTCCCCCTTTGACGAGGCGCTCAACTTCGTCACGGGTAATGCGAGATGCAGAGGAATCCTTGCCACTCTTCGCACCATCACCATCACCATCTCCCTCCCCCTCCCCCTCCTCCTCGTCGTCGTTGTTGTTGCTTTCATTTTCATCGTCCACTTCCGTCTCAGCATCGCTTCCCTCGTCGTCATTCACGACCTCCATGTCCTCCTCGCCAAACTGCAACAGTGTCGGGTCCTCCTCCTCCAAGTAGGAGTAAAACTCCGGGTCCGTGTCCTTTAAGCGCTCTAATTGCTCTTGGTGCTCACGCTCCTCACGTTGGGTCTCTTTGGCCTCACGCAGCTTCTTCTTCTCAACGCGCTCCAGCTTTTCCTTCTTGGCTTTAACGCCCTTACGGCGGTTTTCAATCACCGTTGCCAAATGCTTCTTGGCATACTTCTTAAACGACTTCTTATCCTTTGTGGCCATGCCTCCTTTTTTTTTCCTTTTTTCCGTTGCTTCCTTTTTCCGTTGGTGTTGTGTATGTGTGTAAAATCAATTAAGTATTTCGTAGTTCCCTGAAATTACTTCTTCTGCGGCCGGCGCGATGCCTTTTCTTATATTCTTCTTAATCAGCCTGACGCACGCCCAGTAAACGTATTCCGCTTATTGTCTGACCCAAACTCAACGGCAGCTTGTGGTGGTGACGAGGACCCTTCCAAGAAGGGTCGCACCAAACCCACAAGAAGAAGGAGTGTAAAGCAGAATTAAAAAAAAAACAATAGGGACGAAGCAGAAGAAGTTGAGGAAAAAAAAATGCACATAGCATGGCTCCGCGTCCAGAAATACGTCATATCCAAAAAGAAAAAGTAATAATAAAAATAATAATAGTGGTGACAGTAATTCCACGGCAATATGGCCGCCCCGGTGAAGAAGACGATTCAGCAAAAATGGATAGCCGTAACCGTAATAAGCATGCTCCGTTTGACTCATCTACTTCCACACATCTCTCCATCTCTATAAAACCGCGCAACCGTGGCACCCCTGCAGCACAGGTCCCCGGTTTCTATGAAAATGTCTTCGCTTCTTCTTGTCAGCTGCGTCACTTACCACCTCCTTTGCCAAAGGTCGCACGAACGGGGTGGTGGGATTCTTTGCGACGCCGGTATTGTCCTCGCCGTTGCACTGCCCCTGTGGAATAAACGCATTCCTAGGAGGCTCCTCAATCGGGCGCAGAGTGCTTTGCTGCGGGCGTGGGACAGCCGTCCCACTATTGACTTCCACGCGCACATCAGCAGGGGATACCGAAACGTCAACTTTATTCACACCATGTTCCTCTCCATCAATACTCTCTGACGTCAGTGTCTCCGTTTCGGTGTCACTTTCAGACAGGTCAGAACCATCCAATGGCAGGTCAACGCTGGGACTTTCTGGAGCTTGTTCTTTACCTGCCACCTCTGGAGAGGGCAAAGATAAACGCGACCCCGAAATTACAGAGGAATCTGTCGATGATTCGGGCAAAAAAAAGGACGGCGAAGCCAGAATACCATGCGTTTCACGGTCAATAGGGGATTCTATCGGTTTCTTGGGAAGTAATACTTCTCCAGAGTCCACGGATGGTGGCTCTTGGAATGGGGAGCAAAACTGCGACTTATTCATCGCTTGTCGCTCAATCTCCTCCGCGAGCGGTGCCGCTGGAGAGAGTTCCGTATCGCTAGAAGAAGTAACCCTTTTAACGCAGGCATCACGCCACTGCCCTAGCGCCTCCAGCGAAACCAATTTTGGATGCTCCACCAACGCGTGGAGGCTATTCTCCCTTTGCGTGAACTGCGACATCGGAGATGAACCCCCCACAGAGCTCTCAAAAGCACCATCCTGCTCGCCCTGAAGTGTGACAAGGTGTTGCAAAATATTCTCCTTGAGTTCATCCGAGGCATCCAGTGGCGTACAGAAGACTATCGCCAAAGGCACTAATGGCTCGAGTGTTAACACTCCACCACAGCACTCAAAAGCGTCATGAGTGTCACCCATTACCTCCACCAAATGTTCATTGACTTCAAAAAAAGCCAAAACAAAGACTCTATTGACTCCATCGTACTCGTGCGCCTCCCATGTGTTGGTTCCCCTGCAACTCAATCGGTGGAGACCGACGCACGCCGGAATCCCAGCATCGAGCATGGATAAACCCATGGCAATATCCCCCACGTCTAGCAATGCCAAACTGGTCATTGCTTCGCCGAGGTCGCGGGGCGCGAGGCAGGCCATCAGGGAAACATAACCCACTACTTGCACTTGAGGAGGCAAGTAGCTGTCAAAGTAGTCATCAAACCCCACAGAAAGCTCTGGAAGTTCACCGAGAATGCGACTAAGCAGCCAACCAGCCACACGCATGGTATCTTTGGAACGCAGTAGACGCTGCCGATGTGCAGCACTCGGCGCAGGTGACATGGAAACGTTTTCCCGCGGATCTGGGTCCTGTTCTCGAAGCAAAGAAACCGGGCGGGGGTCCAGCAGTAACCGATCAACCGCCATTTCTTCGCCACCGTTTCGAAATTCGTTATCGTACTGGGAAGTTTCTTGTTGTTGACCTTGTTGTCTTACCACAATTCTTCTCAGCAGCATTAGCTCCGCCAGCAAATTTTGCCTTTCTCCGGGATGAAACAAACTCATATCTTCACTCGGCTTCCGTGGGGCGGTTTTGGTATGAATGCGCTTTAGACGCTGCGTATACCGCATAGTGCTCATCGTTTCGTGGTAAAAAGCAGTATTAGGATGAATGCACGCAAGAAACACCGTCATAGAAGCTCCAGAAAGATATCGTTGAAGTAGCACGGTCAATGTCGTGTCACGAAAGTTTACGTATGAGGAGGTACCGTCTGAATTCAGTCGTGCTGTGCTGAGAGCCTCTAACACCGTACTAAGACGCGAAAGAGACTTGTTGATGGCAATACTTTCCTTATTCAACTGTGGAGAGTACGTCGTCTGTCTCTCGCTTCCCGCCAAGTCTACTAAGCAAAGACGCATTCCCCGGCTCTTAATAGTAAATATTGCGTGGCTACGACTACTACGTGCATTTCGCTCTGTCGGCGCGGTACGCCGTGTCTGCATCCCAAATTCGGAGACTGCATTCCACTCCTCCATCGAGGAGAGGCAGCAAGACGTCAAATTTTCCACCACGATTACCGTTCCATCAGGGCCCGAACGACGCCGAATCAGGCGTCGTTCACCCTCGGCCAGAAGGTCATGCACGCTTTCTCCGTACACCTCCAGCATTGCAACCTCCGCCACGCCGTGGGCGTCAAGCACAGCCTTGGCGGAGAGTGTCAACAGCCCCGGCTCCTTGCCTGTCCCAGCAATGGAGTGGGTCTTACCGCTGTTGGTATGACCATAAGCCAAAAAACATGAGGTATCTGGCTCATCAGCCGAGGAAGCAATGCGTCCAAGTACGAGGTCACGAAACAGCTCATCGTTGCCGCAAGCCTCTGAAACAACTTGATCAACGTGGAAGCCTCGCGGGGCGCTGCCTGCATGCGTTCCAGATAGATCCGCCACCACCAAGTTATTCTTATTCTCAGCGTCAACATCGACGCATGAGGGCCCGCCCTCGCCTGGACGGAGACGGACGACGACACGGATGCGGCGCCCCATCCAGAAGCCTCCCTTTCCTACTGGAGTGCACCTCCCTGCAGACAAGAAAAGCGCCTACACACGCACATGCACACAGCAAAGAAAAAAAACGCAAAACCAAAACAAAAACAAAACCATTTAAGGCATTTAGTTCCCTCTAACGTAGGATTCAGCGCACATGCATAAACACGCAGCTGCGGACATCTGGCATCTATTGTGCCATGGGGGAAAGGGCGGGGGAAGGAAGTTGCAGGGACATGTGATGGCACGCGCAGCCCATCACCAAAATAGCCCCTCTAACTGTGAGTCTGGGCGCGTAGGTGGCAGTCAATGGAACAGAAAAATACTACCAGCTTCGGACAGAGGAGTAGGAGGCGGAAAGTTGACGACGAAGAAGACATTGATGGCAGACGCAAGCCTCCCCACCTCCCAACCTCCTCAAGGAAGCTTCTCGCTGGCACGCCGCATTCCGGGGGAGCTTCAAGAAGAGAAGAGAGGTGAAACCCAGAAAAACAGCACACCTTGGAAAAGTGCTGCTACACCACAGCAAAGTAGAACGCGACATAGAACACAAGAAAAGTTACAACCGCGAAACAAGCAATGATGAGTGACAACCGCGTCTTGTCGCTGTCAAATCCCCCTCCTTGCCCGGGCAAAACAGAGGACCGTGATTTTGAAGCAATGCCTGTCATGACCTCTTCAAACGTGCGGCGCAAAGGTGCCCTTCGTCCAGTGCGCGGCACATCCAAGCTACGGGATGGTTTTGCGGTTGCAAACACCTTCTTTGTGCGCTGGAGATACAAATCAAACTTAATAAAACAGTAGGGTCGCGTGACCGACTCCACCTGAGGTCCATACTGCTGCAGGAACTCCCGAGCCACATCCTCTAGGAAGGCCAACGCAATACCGACCGGCATAGCAGTGTCGCACACCGTAAGAAATGACACGCCCGATTCGGAAAGGACGTGGAACAGATAATTTTTCCACACAACAGTAAGCAGAGGCGGGGTGTACACAGCTGGACCACTGTATTCCGTAGCCAACTTTCGGAGAAGCGTTTTTGCCGCCACCCTGCATTGCTCCAGTTCTACACTAGACGCATCCGTGTCCGCCGCTAGCGCCAGTGCATCGCGCTGACGAACAATGAGAGTAAAAAGAAGCATAAACAGAGCGCAGGTGTTGGGTTTTGCTCTTCCTTTCTTTGTTTGCTTGCTGTGCCAGGATTGCAGTCTACTGGCAGGCAGGCTTACAACCGCTGGCCACAGCGCACAAAAAACAGTCGCGGAAAAAGAGAGGGTGGGGGAAAAAAAAAGCAATCGAAAAAGAGTGGGATTGCGGGGTCGAAGCGTAACGAATTAAACACACCCACAGACGCCAAGCAAAAAAAAGTCTGCAGGATAAAACAAAAAGAAAAAGCAAAAAGACAGAGCAAAATGGAAGAAAAGCAACAGGAAGAAAATAGGCAATGGACTACACACAACAGCAAAAACAACGAGGGAAACACTAGAACACAATTAGAATGCGTGAATGCCCAGGGAAGAGTCACATGCCAGCAAAACAGCGCCCCTCATGAACAGAAAAGTGGGGTGCTGATAGTCTCAGGAAATGAATGCAAACTGACGCCTCAAAATCTCCTGTCGGCACACCGGGCACGATTGCATGCCCTGCGAACATAGCCAACAGACGCACAGGTGACGACAAGGGTCAAATAATGTATCACGCCTGTGAGTCATGCACACAACACACTCCTCTCCCTCATGTCGCGCAGGGGTTGGTGCATACTCGGTCGGTGGTACATCACGGCCGATACGCGGGGTCGACGACGACACAGCTTTTGCCACGAGGACACAGCCATACACCCCTACAGCTGTCAACAAGGAGTAATTCACCAACCGTGCGGCGTCTGAAGTAACTTCTGTCTGCAGAAGTCTGTCCAACTCCTCCCTATGCCGAGTTATGGTCGCCTGTAGACCTCCAATGACTTTTTGCTGCCGGGACTGCCTTTTGCAGAGAACCCAAAATGCAACTCCAATGGGCAAAAGAACAATAGTCTCCAACATGCCTTATATAAACATATAGCACACCTTACAGCGGTCAAAAAGAAAATTGTCAAGAGTAAGCAAAAGTCACACAATGAGCCAAATATTTAAAACAAGAAGATGCATATGTGGGAAAAGGAGCTTTTCCCTCGCAGATAGGAAGTGAAAATGCCACAGAGGAGGACCCAAATTAGGAACTACTGCTCACAGTCGCACCAAAAGAAAAAACAACAACAACAACAACAAAGAAACAAACAAGGGAGTAACTCCAGAAGGAAGCCTTCCTTTAATATTGCAAGGATGTACATATCTAGATAGATAGGGAGAGATACACAACACAAAACGAGAGCGGAAAAACCTCAAATAACGAACCCATCAAGTATTAACCGTCTTTCAAAGTAACGAGAGCAGGATTGAAGAATTAGTGGCTGGAGTGCATGTTGAAGGAGCGCCAGAGAATCATCGTGAAGACAGAGTCATCGCTGCAGGCGGCCGACACGGCGCGCCAGAAGTAAAGAAAGTGGTCACACGTCAGCATTGTGGATGTCTTCTCGCCAAAACACTGCTTCATCACGTGACGCCAATCTTCTTCACCGCCCATCAACGCACCTTCCACCTTTTCAGGGTGAAAAAGTCCCAACACGCGCCCCAACTCGACAGTTTCCTGCTCTCGTGCAAGGTTTCCCAGTTTTTTTAGCTGGCCAAATAGTTGGCGGACAAGGGCCTCCCGCTTTGTTGGAAATTCACCTGAAAGCAGCAACACCAAACGCTCTCGATCCTGTCCCTTGAACCGCAACCACTCAAGCTCGACGTCGCTCACAGCCTCCGGAACGCCGGCCCCACGGAGCACACTGATGAAGGTTGCGATAGAAATTGGACCTGCAGGAAGCGCAAGGTGAAGGCGTGGGAGGGCCAATAAGCCACCACTCTTCACCACATAGCGCCGCACGGCTTCTTCAAGAATAAGAAAAAGCGATTTACTCACCGGAACAAAATGCCGCGTAAATTCACAAAGGAGCGTATGAACAGAGACAAGTTCTTGGTGGCCCTCTCCACGTAAATAAAAGAAGAGTTGACGCACTTCTTTTAGGAGCAATCCAACACGCAGATCCTTACACAGCTCCTCAAAAGACAAACGCGTCAGAAAACAATTCGAAAGCTCCCTTCCAGCATCGATACAAACGCTGGTATGCTCGCTAAACTTCACATTAAGATCTGGTTTTAGTGACAGACGACGTAGTCCTTCAAGAAGGGCAAACGTACCCGAAGGCCCAGCTCTATTTGGGTCACAAACCGCCTCAGCGAAGACTGACATAAGCAGTGAAAACCTCACATCCGAAGGCAAGGGTCTTTGATATAGAAACGCGTAGAGGTAAGCACCGTCAACGGCCACTGTAGAGGAGGAGGAGGAGGAGGCGGAAGACAGTCCCATGGAACAGTATTCAATTAGGCAAAACGCCTCAGAAAGCGTCATACCATAGGATTCCGTCAGGAAATCAAGAACCGTAGCTCTCTCAAGGATACAAGCTTCTCTGCCCCCTTCTGCTGCACACCTTGCCAGTGCCTTACCACACGCCGAATCACAGGGGTGGGGTAATTGAGGTCTAGCGTCCATGCAGCGAGACATTTCTAGCAATAAAGAAGCCTGCACAGGACACATCTGCCGCAGACGCAACAACAACATCACAGGGCTAACTCGAATATCATCACTCCCGTTCGCCACACCACTTTCTCCATATTCCTCAAGCGGCAGCATGGCAATAATTATTAGGAGTTCTCTATCACTCAGGGTATTTGCCGGGAAAATCTGGCGTAGGACGCCCTTTAAGGGCCAAAGTTCGACCGCGTGCATACGAGATCGCACACGATACCGTGCATCAGTCTGTATAAATGACGAGGATAGGGAGCGGAGAAACGAAGAAGCTTCACACTTCACAAGAGTCTGAATGGCTTTGTGGTATAGTCGCAGCAAGTACTGCGGGTCTCGCATGAGCGACTCTGCGGCAGCATCAAACATCATCAAACCTGATAAGAAGTATGGCCTATTTTTTTTCTGTGCAAATGGCACTTGCCCTCTTTAACTCCGCCTTCTGAGTCCGCCTAATCCCCCGTCAGAGAGACCATAACAGAAGAATAAGATTAAGAATAGTAACGCCCACATTTCCCATCAGCTCATGTTTGCCAGTGGGGAAAAGCAAAGCTTCCCCCGACTTCACTCAGGTGTTTATATGAATTATCCTCACCTTGTGACTTCACTGTATTATTAAACTTGGCTTTTATTACCACCACCACCCCAGTCTTGTTTTGGCCGATGTTGTGTGTTTTATTATCCCTGACGGTTCGTTAACATGTGCTCTTAAATACTGTCAACCGCTTAATACACAGTTAAACTTTTTAAGTGATCGTTCAATCGCTCTACAGAGACATCCACGGCATGTAGCTCCCGTTGGACTGCCCGCAGCCGAGCCTCGCCCAGCGCGATCGACGCATCTAGTCGAAACCGTTCCTGCTCTCTCCCTTCATAGACTTGGATGAGCGAACGGCGCACGACCTCAGAAGGGTGCAACGCAGCAAGATTGCACAAGAGTTCTTCATCAGCGCGCAAAAATGTCTCATCCATTGCTTGCAGAAGAAGATGACACTGTCGCGCCAATTCCTCGCTGTCGTTGGCCCCCACGCAGGTACCGCAGAGGCGGTGTGGCGCCATTTCAAGGGCTTTACTCGCAGCGCTGGCCTCCCTCGTGGCCTTCTCAGCGGCACCTCGCTGCTCCTCAATAGCGACCGACGTTGACGTGCAACATGGCGTGCGCAGTTCCTCCAGTTCATTGTCTCCTTGTGAAACCTTCAACGCCAGGTGCCGCGAATTCGGGTCCCGTATCTTTGCATCGGGAAGCTCTTCTACGTTAGGCTTCCGCAAGCGTGGCGGCTGCCATGAACAACAGCGCCAGGATGCATCGATTGAGGGTGTGGGAGAAACAAAACCCAAGGTCACCAGTCGCTGGCTGTACCGCGACTTCAGCGCCTCCCACGCCGCGGCTTCCTCAGTGGAGCGCAATATTGGGGGAAGGGAACGGTAGCATGCTTCTTTCAAGAGGCGCAAATGCGTTTTGTCGTCATTGTGATCGTCAAACACGTGAGCAAGACAGGTTTGCAAGACGCGGACGACGTTGCCAGGGTAAACGTGCTTCGCCAGCGACTCAATCGTTCGTTCAAGCGTTAAGGCACCCACATCAAAGCAAATGCACATCTCCAATAGTTGCAATAGACCACTGAGCCCATGCGGCCAATCACCCCTCCAGATGCTTTCCAAGAGAGTGTTGTCGCCAGCGATGCAGCTTTTCAACAGCGCGTCTACAGCAGCATATGAAGTACAACAGAGTACGGACCGCTCACTCGTTGGGTCCACTAGGAAAGGATTGGCAAGACAGGAAGACGCTTTAAGGAGGGCATGCAAAGCAACGGAAATCTCGCGTCCTTCCACGACTAAAGTCACAATGCGCTCCATCCACCACCTTGTGCGAACCGCAAGTAGTATACCACAGTGAACTGCGGATACGCTCCTCGTCCCCCTTGTAACCCCCTTTTTATTTCTGTTTGCAAGTTTCATTAGAAAGGAGGGCCCATGGCGTAACGCTGCAAAGCAGTATATTAAATTTCGGCAAACACTCCACATTACAAGAATAAATAGCATGATACAGGAAAAAACAAGAACAATAATAGTGGCAATCTTACCAGTGCGAGGTGAGACCTTTTACAAGGATCCACCTGTTACACCCCTTTGTGCGTGCTCTCTCTCTCTTCCTCGGGGGCGGTGGTGGCGGAGGAGTCGCTTACAACTCCTTCCTCTTACCTCCAGCAGGAGCCGGAGGAACAGCAGACGGTGCGCGAGACTTTGGCAAGAGTGGGTACATGGCACCTGCCGCCAACGCCGTCACCATTGCCACCCACTCTACCGCGGTGAAGTAGCGATAATGACCAAAGTAGACAACAGAGAGCGCAAAGGTGCACAATTTGCGCAGAGTCAGTGTCAGAATTAGGGTAAAGGCGGAAGTTTTGTCATTTAAGACATAAACACCAGTTATACACACATATTGCGAAAGGGCGTTCAACACAAAGTGCATGTAGTTACCAGAAGAAATGGAGGCAAATTCCAGAAAGAGGCGCTGCGGTTGCAACAAAAACAAGGGCAAAGATATAGCATGGGAGAAAAAAAGAGCTTCTGCCCACATTGGTGGCGGCGGTGGTTGTTGCGGTAACGATAAATTGCGTTCTGCCTCCCGCGCCTTTGTTTCCTCCTCTCTACGACGTGCCACAGCATACATGTACTCCTGAAATATTCCAAGACCCGTGGAAAATGCGGTGGTACCGGCGAGGACTGCAAGTCCTAAAAACCACCAAAGCTCCTCCTCAGTTGTCTGCGGAGCATTTCCAGCTTCAGTGCTCCGAACCTTTTGCGATTTTTCTATTGCAAGAGCGATAAGACCGCCCGATATGGCTGTGGCGCAGAGCACCTGTGGGAATGTGTAACGCTTTTCCAAGAAAAAGTAGCCAGCCAACATATTTAATAAAAGCGATGACGATCTAAACGTTGCGTGCAAGGGCACAGAGATGTAAAAACCAAATACCAGGTTGCTGCTAACAGCCATGAGCCAAGAGGCCGTGGCAAGGATGACTTTGTGTGCTGTCCGTATCCGCGTCGGTCGTAGACGCAGAGAAAGCAATCCGCGACTTTGTGACGAATCAGCGAAGTTGGCCACCAGTGGAAAAGCAAGAATTGTAACAACTACATACTGGGCAAACGTCATAGCATACAAAGTGTTGGGACTTTGCAGTATAATGAGCTCGAGTAAAAAAACATTTGCCTGGCAGCCACCCAAGACACAACACAGTGCTAATACCGCGTCTGACATGAGTTTGATACTTTTCCAATGAGAGGTGGAGAGGAAGCGAAAAGAAGAAGAAGAAATACCTACGTAAAGAAAAGAAAGACCGTAAAACGCAACGCAGACAAGGCATTCTTACGAAACCAAAGCCAAGAAGATTGACGTGCAAAACGCAGAAGGCAACTCCATACGGAGCAGGCGGATGATGCAACAAAGGACGGCTACCAGCACAAACGCTGCGCGTACACGCCCACACACAGAAAGAAAGAAAGAAAGAA